ACACTGACCCAATATAAGAATCCTTCACCCTTTCTCTCGTTATGGTTAATTAAAGTTTAATAAATAATAAACGATGTAATTTGTAAATATTGGCAACCTCTAATTAATTAAATATAAGTCACCAATGGAGCCGGTAACTAGTCAGTACATAATTGCTCATTTTATCTATACTATTCATTTATTTCTAAGTTATTATTATTTGCTTACCGCATGCACTTTAATTCATAGGTTTAATTGTTTTTTCGTTTATCGATTTACATAACCGGTTTATCCCTATATGTTGATTAGTTTGGAATGAATGTCCTAATCACACTTTTCTTAGTTGTTAAAGTATCCATTTATATTGTCTGTTTAATTATCGCTCTATTTTTCAGTAATTATAGGATGAGATGGTTGTGTGTGATTTGTGGTAGTTGGCAATGTGAACATGTATGTAAAAAGCTTACCAGATGTCATGAAAAAGGGTGCACCGACCCAGTACATAGGGCAAATCCTAGCGTGAACATTAACTTAATCGAACGAGACTGAGAAGTCCCATATCGAAAGAGGTTGGAAAATATTATTCACCCTCATACTGAATGGGGCATTGGAGTCGTGGTACGTTTAGCGCCCATTACTGGACGAGATATGGGAACGACTGATTAATCAATAGATTAGTTATTGGGTCCATGTATAGGGAGAACCCCTATGGGCCCCCGGTGGTGCTGGTAAATAAGTAAAAAGATAAAGTTTGACTATTATTGTTCCTTAGAATGTATCATGAATTGCTATCTTGATTATTACCTTCACAAGTCAAATTTGAGAACTTAAAAAGTGAATATGAAACTTACGTTTTTGAATTAAATGAATTTACTTAAAAAGAAAAATGGTTTCATTGGTTGTTTTGTGATTTTCACCACTATTTGATTTTTTGTATCGGTTGTTAAGTGTTGATATTTTTACTGGGCTGATGTAGCTTATTTCCCTTATTTAACAATTTTAGATAAGAAAGACCAAGATCCGGATCCTGAACAATAAGAAAATTAACGACTAAAGGTTGCTTCTCACTTTCCATCAGAGTTGCCCTACGGAGATTGACTCTATAGGTTTATAGTTATATTTCTATTTCTATTATTTTAAATCCTTTAAAAGAAATTTTTGTAACCTTATTGAGCATATAAATTTACTGTGTAATGAATGTAAACCCTAAATTTTAAATTACTTCCGCTTATATTTCATTAATTCAATATTTCCATTTCATTAAATTTTGGGCATTTACATTTTTTTTATTACAATTTGATTTATAATGTAACGACCCGGAACTAGAAAGAGAAATAAATTATAAATTGAATGTGAAAGCGAAATAATAATGTTAGGGTTTACATTCCTCACACAATAATTTAGAATATCCAATATGGCTACAGGAATGACCATTCTAAAAGAACAACGAAAAATTAAGGAAATAAATGGAAAGTAAATAACTGGACATCCTATTCGTAACTCTCTTGTGGATCGGGATCTAGATTTTGGTTTTCTTGATCTGAAATGGTTAATGACAGAGTGAGCAACATTAGTCCAGTAAGAATGTCACACTACTCACTGATACAGAAATCAAAATTGGTAAAAATTATGAAAACAACTAATAGAATTCTTAATTTAAGTAATTTCATTTATCATAAATAAAATCATTTATTGTACACTTAATGTAATGAACTTTTCAAAAATGATCTATAGAGGCAATAACACGACAATATCAAAATCTCATATTCAATTAAGTAAAAATAACAACTTTTCCTTTTTATCTGCCTACTAGTATCCGTGGGGGTTCATAGGAATGTCTCCACTACGCGTGAAACCTTATTCAACATTGTCAACTAACCAGCCGTCCCCATACCCCGTCTGGTATGAGTGTCAAAAATATCATCCCTTAATACTTCATTTGGTATGAGAGTGAAACGGACTGTCCCCATACCCCGTCCGGTATGAGCACCAAGATACCAATCCTCGATACCCCGTCCGGTATGAGGCAACGTTTACGGTATAATTTTCTATGCATCCGATCCGTCCATTATCTCTTATGATATCTAGTAAGGCTACCATTTATTCAATCACTTAATCAAACAATTCCCCGTTTACGTTTAATTTTCGATTTCACAATCTAACTGTAATTCATGCAAAACAAGCAATACATGCATCAAGGAAGCACAATTGAATCATTATCCAACTCCAACATATTATAATGCATTTGAAAACTATAAAACCAATCAAACAGGATAAACAACGAATAATAATCAGTTCCGACTCCATTAGTAACCTGTGATTAATTATCGAGATTTTCTAAATTGTACAAAATACCACATTATTTATAATTAAACTTCAATTTCATAACATGGAATAGGGTGAGAGATTCTTACCTGAATCGGTATCTGAAACGCTAAACTCTCAACTGCGCCTACTGGCGGTCCTCAGGTTTCATGAATTTTCCTTCGGAGATTAAAACACGCTTCAAGTACTTGTAAATACCCTAAAAATCCAAAATCAAAATTAAAACCCTTTTCCAGCCAATTTTAGAATTTTGGCACGGCGACGACTCTGCTGCCCACGGCAATGTTTTGCCTCGAACTGGCTATTTTCAGCCAATTTTAGCCGATTTTGATTGGTTTTTGTACTCATCCCTGCAAGAAAACACATTAAGGGACCTCGGTTGGCAAAAAAAAATCAAAAAATAGAAGCTTACCGGTGGCAGGGTTTTCCGTTGCAGCGGCTTCACTGACTCATCTTCGTGGTTGGGCATTTTTATTCGGTTAACATATGAAAAACAAAATGGTGAATACAATGGTGAAAAAATTGCACGATACGAGAATCAGGAAGAGCCTCATCGGATGCAATTTTTGGTTTTTCCCACGACGGCACCGCCGAGCTTTACCCATGGTTTTTGGCTCTCTGCTAGTTGTTTTGCTCTGATTTGGCCATGAGGGTGTTCAAAATCGAATTTCGAGCCAATAATATTTTTTTTACCTCTTTTGGTGGTCGGAGGTGGCTCCAGCATAGCGGCAGGCGACAGTCGGCTCTCTCTCTCAATGACTGGTTCTTCTTTTTTGACTGGAGGCTCGAAGCTAGGGTTAGGGTTCGGTGTGAAGTGAGATATTTATATTCGTATTCCTTTAATCTGAGCCGTCTATCGCATTTGATCTCGACCATCCGATCAGTTTAAATAAAAAATGAATCTATATTGTTCATCGCGATTTGATTTAGACCGTACAATCGTGCCCGATGAGGGAACAGATTCAGACCGTCCATATGCGCGGGAACAATTTCGGATCGTCCGATCGCGAGCACGAAGATTGCCAATGTGGCCTCTCATGTGGCACCGTATTAGTGTGTCTTACCACGCGGCGCGCTCCAAAAGTTCGTCGGGACTGCTGACTGGGCGGTCCTACGTGGCACATTTTTCATAAATTGTATTTTGACTCCCAGTTTCTGATTTTTCTTTCAAACAGATTCACAGAATTCAAATTTTTACATCTTTTTCCCAAAATTATTTTTTAATTTCATCATCCACCTATTTTTCTTAATTTTTTACATTAAATGAAATTTATAAATTAAAAAATTATATTTTATGCATTAATTTTAATTTTTTAAAATTAATTCCGGGTATTACATATAACTTTTGATTTTTAATTCAAACATAATAATTTTCGTCTTTTAATAGAAAAACTTGAAACAATCATGTTATGTTTGAGTAATTTAAAAGATAATTAAAAAATAAATTTGACTAATTAATTAAATTAATAAAAATATTTAATTAATGAAAATTATTTTTAAATTTTAAAATGTTCAAATATGGTGTAGTTATTTTAATTTTTTTCACTAAAAAATTTAAGAAAACTTGATGTTTAAAGTAAATAAAAATAGTAACAAAAAAATTGAAAACCAAATGATAAGAACTAATATGATAATTTATCTTAATTACAATATAATATGTCCTGCAAATTTTTTGATGAAATATAATCTCCATTATATCACTATATGCTTCAGATTCCAACTCAACATACAAGCCGTCTGAGATATATATATATATATATATATATATACCATAATTTTATAAACAAGAATTGGTATAAATTCTTCTCCCCTGCTCATTAGGCAAACAAGTGTTATTTTATAATGGTAGATATAATTCAAGACTTTTTTTTTTTTTTTTTTTTTTGTGAAACTACTTTTAGTTTATATTTTTATATGAATAAACTTCATCCTTATTTTTCACTATTATGTTTTAAATATTATTTTTATTAATAACTATTTTGTAAAGAAGTATAAATAAAAAAGATATTTGTAAATCAATAAAAGGATTTTTCTGGGATAATTTGAAATGTTATTCTTCTAGCGTTCGTAAGACATAATAATGTTTCATAATAATCATTAGTGATAAAATTAAATAGTTTACTGATTATATTAAATATATATTTTCTTAAATTGGTATATTATATATATGTTATATATTTTTTACTTTAAAATATTTCATTATTCGATGAATCTTTAATTTATAGAAATATTAAAAAAAAAATACTATCTTTAATTTCTATATAATATGATAAAATTAATATATTTTTATCAAATTTAAATTAGTTAACTGTTATTAACGGCAAGATATATAATTTGATTTTGATTCCTTATTTTCCACTACTTTCCGGCCAACAAGTAATCTCTTGTTTCTTTTTTTCAATTTTAAAAAGTAAGTTTTTTAAAACAAATGATATTTTAATATTTTAAGGGAATAAAATAAATATTTTTAAATTTCCTCTCTATTAAATAAAATTTGCTAAATTTGTTTTTTTTTTTTTACTTTACTAATTAAATTGAAAAAAAAGAAAAAAGATAATAACTGTCTCCAACCTCTTTATTAAATAAGATCACCATCTTAGTATGAAAGATCTACCTTTTATTATTTAAATATTTTTCTTAAATATAAATCTTATGCTGACGAACGAACATAAACTGAAGCTCAGCTGTAAACTAAAGGAAAAACATTGAAGGGGGAGAAGACTCAAGAGTCAAATCCTGGCAAGTGGGACCCTCGAGCAAGTCAAAGGCTTTTGTAGCTTCAACGGCCAAATCCGAAAGCCAGAAACATAAATACGTTACGCCAAGTATCGGAGATCAAACTTCATTTGAAAAAATGTATGAAAGATCAAGGTCTCATGAGCTCCATCATCATGAAGCACAAAGAGCAATGAAGATAGAACCCAGTCTTGGATTTTGGGATTCAATCTCAAACACAATCTCGACAAAACAGGGGGGAGCAAGGAAATCAAAACCAACATGATATACTCATTTGAGAATTTGCGGTTTATGTGGATATATATTTACCCAGAAACCAGAGGAAGAAGAAGAAGAAGAAGAAAACAAGCATAAGAAACAGGGCGTAGGAGAAAATTTTCGGACTTCAGTGGTCGTGCTTTTGTTCTAGAGCATGTCCTTATTGTTGGTTTTTTTTTTTTTCCTTTTTCTTTGAGTGTTCTAAAGAGGAGACATGTTCTGGACTGAAACGTGAAAGGAGAATAATAATTAATCTGGTTTTTATTTTTAGCAGAGAGAAATACGAAGTTTTTTCTTGTGGGGTTTTTTTCCTGATTAGTTCGAGTTTTGTTTCTCGTTTGTGAAAAAAGAAAGATCAAGCGGTTTATTAATTGTCTTTTGCTTAGGTATATTAATATTTTTGTTTTGACCTGATTCTACGTGAGAAGAGAACTGTAGTTAAAAACTGACACCTTTTTCCATGAAACAAAAAGGGCTGCTTGATTTTTAACTCACCAAATTTTTTAGTTCTAGTAATTATTTATTGGCTGCTTTGATTTTGTGAACAAGTTATTTTAATTTTTGATTTTTTAAGAGGAGAGAGGGAATTTTTTTTCGGAGAAAGAAAGAGATGTCCTTTCGGGTTTTATTTGAGATTTATTTTAAAGTCTTATCTTAGCCTTCCTTAACTTTACTCTCTTTTTAGGGGTTTTGTTTTTGATTTTTCTCCCCGATTGCTTCTGTTCTTGGGATTTTTCTTTGTTCCCTTGTCTTTTTTAGTCTTTTTGCCAATTTGGATCGCTAAATTTCTTCGTCTTCTCTTCTGGGTCGATCAATTTTTTTCAATATTAGGTTTCGCATTATCAAGTGTTTCCGCACCATAAAGTTCGTTGCTTTCTCAGATTACCCAGGGAGGGAGGGCAAGCCGGATTATGCAGAGGTGGGATTTTAAGATTTGCAGGGAATATTTGTGTTTTTCCTTGATTTCGTGCTGATATTTAAAAGGTTTGGGGGTTTGTCGACTCGGTCTAGATTTCACTCAGTTTAGGAAATTATTGTTGAGGTTTGGCATGTGTATATGATGTTTCATGCTCAAGCTTCCTCGAGGAATCATTGTACCCTTCTCGCAGTTCTCTGCGGAAATAGTCCTGATATTGAGGTGAAGAAGGGAGTTCCTGATGATCAACCCATATACCCCTTTCCAGAGCTTGCCTCTTCAGGCCGTCTTGAGGTGAATATATCATGTTTATGAGTTATATTTTTAAGTTGTGTGTGTGTGTGTGTATTACAATAAGCTTCCATATTATAGCTTAATTTTGTCCGGGAGGTTCTAATGTACCGGTTTGGTGTTTATTGGAATGCAGGTTCAGGTACTCAATAATCCAACTACTAAAGAGTTCCAGCGAGTTCTTGAAGCATCAGAGCCAAGTATTGTTTACTTGCAAGGAGAGCAGGTTGCGGACAATGAAGAAATTGGAACTTTAATGTGGGGGGATACTGATTTATCCACTCCTGATGCCTTATGTGGACTCTTTGGTTCTACATTGCCAACCACTGTAAGTGATTGTTTATCTTATGTTTTGTCAATCAGAATAAGTGAGTTTGTATCATCTGAGGGTTGAAGTTTAATGATTCATGTAAATCTCAATAAAATCAAGTGAATGGATTAATTATGTGCTAATATGTATGAGTCATATTTGAAGAAGTTGTTTGCATGACCATAACCTTTTCTAGTTTTTTTTGGTAGCATATATGCAAAATGCAACTACTTTCCCTTTGATGTAGTATACTATTAAAACTTGTACCATAGTTAAGGACATTCCTTTTATGCATTTCTTTTTGTATTCAGCAGACTGGGTTTTGTAATGAATAAGACTGCTTATGTGCAGCAATGGATGCTTAGTCAGAGAAATAGTTGAAAGAGTTGGTTTTCTGGGGGCAAATAATATATGGAATTGCTTTTTTACTCCGAGATTTTGAAAAAATTTATATTCAGGCTTGTTCAAGATTCTTAATAGGGCATATGTCACTAGAAGAACTTTGACAAGAAGGTAACAGACTAGGAAATCTTCCATGGTTGTTGTTCGGGGTGTACATGTTCCTATAAGAACTTTTCTTTTCATATTTTCAATCCTTTTAGATATTAGGGGAAACTACTAGTTATTTACGGTATTGATTTGAATTACTCTCTATGTTTGTTCAGGTCTATCTAGAGGTCCCAAATGGTGAAAAATTGGCAGAAGCTCTGCACTCTAAGGTTATATCATGCGTGGACAACTCTTTAATTGTTCCTTTTTCCATTTATTATGATGTATCTGGTGGAAAACTAATGATTAACCTTGATTGCTTGTTGGCTCTTTGGAGTTAAAAATTTAAATGCATCTTTTCTTGAAAAAAGTTATAGAACTTGGATGTTTCTCTGTGGTGCAGGGGGTTCCCTATGTTATATATTGGAAGAATGTATTTTCACGATATGCAGCTTCTCATTTTCGTCAAGCATTGTTGTCTGTGATTCTAAGGTAGTAACATCAACTTTCTTTAGTCATTAATTATCTTAAAAAGCAAGATGAAAGGATTATTACTGCTGGTGCCAATCAGGATTACCTACCTACCCTCCTGCCCCCTCCCCTGGCCCCCAAATTGAAAATCTGTCCTCCTAAATTTTTAAATTGGATAATGGTATGAGTTTATTCAGGATGTTATAGTCCCAACCGGATAGCTAAAATGAGGACTAAAATTCAAGGAGAAGAATTAGGGCAAGGATTTTGGACTTCAAAGCTTAAAGCTCGGAGTCATCTTTATCATTTTTGGCAAAATGATTTGTGGAGAAGAAGTAAGATTCTAAGTGATGTTGGAGAAGAGAGCTTGAGAAATTTTTTTTTTTTTTTTTTTGAGATAAGAGCTTGAGAAAAAATTATTAAGAACTGGAGTTGGAGGTCTCATATCTGAATAATCAAATTAACTCAATATTTGTACAATAATAATAGTTATATGAATAGTTCACCAAATAGCAACAGCAGGTACCATATTTATAGGTACCAGATTACAACCAAAATAACTATTCCTGACTTTATATAGGAATTCTATTAAATAGAAAAATAAGCTAATTAATTAGAATAATTTATTAGCTAGATAGCTGAATAAGATCCTAATTAAATAGAAAATAGTAAACCCATACCACTAATAAGTCTATAAATGCCCCTTGCTAAATAAAAGTGTAAAAATATTACAATTACACAAATATATCTTAATATGGAAATATGTTAATAATCTTTCTATTTTGCAACATTCTATTCCACTTGGTAAAAACTTGACCTTGACTTTTGATATGTCAAAGTAGAAAGAATATCAAATTTGAAACTCTATTTTGCAACTTTCTTAGGAACCAATTTTGGAGTTTTCATATTTCAATAATAAATCAAGTACATAATATTTGTATAATAATTTTATGAGTAGTTTACCAGATAGCTATTGAGTATCCTATTTATGAGCACTAGATTACAATTGAAATATACACTCTTAAATCTATAAAAAAAAATGCTAAATAGGAAAGTAAGTTAATTAATAGTAATCACCTACAATTGAGAGTATATGTAAGATCCTACTTGAATAGGAAGTAGTAACTCATGCCATCTATAAGCCTACAGATACTAATTCCTAAATAAGTTTAATACTTTAGTAATATATAAACATTACAATTGCATAAGTATTTCTAATATTGAAATACTATTTTAGGATCTTCCTACCTGCATCATTGAATAAGAAATTGGGTTAGAAGTAGGATTCTGGAGATTTAGAGAGAACAGATAATGAAGGATACTACGGAGTATAATTTACTTTTGAAATTAAAATCAGTTAGGAATCAGGAGATGAGGTAGGTGTCAAGACCAGGGTCCAGTCAGTCAACTTTTTTTTTCTCAAAACAATTACTAAACAGTGTTTTATTGTTTTGGAACTTATAATATATTCATTTTCCTCGTTTGAAACTTGCAAGATATTAAGTGCTTCATTGAACCTTGAACCAACATAACATACTAAGTATATCCCTGTCCAAGCCTAAAATTAGCGTTTGGCTTATCTCATACCCTACCCTGTACCACGATCTGGTTATACCACATTTCAGGTAACTATGGTCTTTTTTTTTTGTTTTTTTCTATGTATTTACTGATAATGAAAAATACAATGTAGAGGAGGATAAAGTCTTCTCGAGAAAGAAAAAAAGAAAAAGTCGATAAAGAACCAAAAATAAGGAGAACAAGTTGTGTTATTTCAAAATCACGTCCCAATCCCTTTGTAGCTTTGTTAAGGGAGTCCCTTGAAGTAATGAGCTTTAGCCCGAAGAGAGGCAAAATACACCAACCACGCCCACAAACAATAGCTGAATGGGATCTGTTATTTATATCTATATTCTTCTGTTTATCTGTGGCCAGATGTTTTTGCTTGTTTGTAATGAAGAAATCAATGACATTTGGAATGTTAATGTTATGAGTGTTTCCCCTTTCAACCTCCACATGAGTATTGATGCCCTTGACTCTAAATGTAGCTATATCCAAGATTAACTAATGGTTGAGAAAGATGAATGCCTCTCTTCATTAATGAAGATCATGATTTAGGCCTTTTGTGCATGACAGTTCATGCAGCCATACATGGGATGGTTTTCAACTTGCAGATGCTTCTTTTAGAATGTACTGTGTGCGAAACAACACCGTCCTAACTTCCAAAGTTAGTGGTAAGTCAGGACCACGATTGCTTGGGGAACCCCCCAAAATTGATGTTGTTCTGCCTGAGGTAGATGCACAAGAAGAAGAAAACTCTCCAGAGACTCTCCCTTCTATAAAAATATATGATGAAGATGTGAACATGAGATTTCTTATATGTGGGTTGCCATGCGCGCAGGTAGTTTTGGTTTGATCTTGTCCAATTCGAAATTAGTTGTGCATTTTATAAATAAGTTTTATCGTTGAGATATATGATGGTCACAAGCTGTTTATTTTCAGGATGCATTCTTATTGGGATGTTTGGAAGATGGGCTGAATGCTTTATTGAGCATAGAGGTAAGTTTTGACACTTCAAAGGTCATCTGTGGCCATCTCAAATGTTTGGTCCATACTACATCTCTCCAGGATTGTAGTTTACAAATACATGTATATATTAAGTTGTTGATTTTGAATGCACATGTCTATTTATGAATCTATAAATCCACATGTATAGATTCATGTATATCTTCATGAACCTATATGAATATATTTTGTACCCTTGAATCTGTTTCCTTCCTCATGTAAGTAATATCTTCTATGTTTCCTATGCTTGCTATTTCTTCAGATACGTGGAAGCAAACTTCATAACAGGGCAAGGTACTGACTCAGTTTGAGCTAAGTTACATGTTTTTTCTTCTTTGAATTTATGGGTTTTAAAATGGACTAATTTTTCAGTTCAGTATCCAATTGTATAAGGGACTTCCCTCTTCGTCTTCTATTTACATTGGATTGATGATGTGGCATTATATTTGCAGTGCTCCACCACCGCCCCTTCAAGCTGGAACATTTTCACGTGGTGTAGTAACCATGCGATGTGACTTCTCAACCTGTAGTTCTGCTCATATATCACTTCTGGTGTCTGGCAGCGCACAAACTTGTTTTAATGATCAGGCAAGATAAAATCATTATATATCTTCTACAGTGAAATGTTTTATGTGATCTCTTCCAGTTTTTATCTCTCGGTGACATTTTTGGTTCCTCTTTTTATTTTTTCTGGTCTCAGCTTTTGGAGAATCATATAAAAAATGAGTTTATTGAGAAAAGTCAATTAGTCCATGCATTGCCAAACTCTGAGGAGAGCAAATTGGTATTGTCTGAGCCTCGGAAGTCTGCCTCGATAGCCTGCGGGGCAAGTGTGTTTGAAGTTTGCATGAAGGTCCCCACATGGGCTTCACAGGTTACACTTCTTAACTTATTAAGCTCTCTCTAACCAACCCCTCTCCCCCCCCCCCCCAAAAAAAAAAGAAAAACGAATCTGGATGTGGGCACAGATTTAGTTACAGTTCTTATGAGTATTGTATATTTTTTTATTTTACTTTTATCTTTAACTTTATTATTAGCCATCTCCTTTCTCATAGGCATGAACTGGTTTCTAGATTATGCAAGTGTTGCTACATTAAACATAATTTTTTAAAATTCCAGCTTCAATATTGAGACTTTTGGATGTTTGAATCTTTTTAGTTGTTAAGATTTCTTTTTTTTTTCTTTTTGTTCTTTTTGTGCTCCTTGTTTGTAGGGGTTTCTGTAATCTTTTACTATTTATTAAATGAATGCTGTTCCAAACTTCCTTCTGCCAAGTTTTTTTTTTTTTTAACATGATGACTAAAGAATTTTATTTGGTGGGGAGGATTTGGTTTCTGTAGTTTTCACCATGTATTGCTGGAAGTTTATCTCTGTGCTTTAGACAATACAGTGCTGCTTTTAGAGAATGCAAGATCTTGTCACAATGAAACTTTGGCTAGGGGAACCAATAAGGAGGCCCTGATGAGTTTTTCCTGACTTCTGCTTATGATATATCCTCTATAAACCTTCAAGGCAGTTAGTTTGATGGGAGTCTGTCCAAATTGTTGTAATCAGACCTGTGTTATGGAATGCCTCAACAGGTTTTAAGGCAGTTGGCACCAGATGTATCCTACCGGAGTTTAGTTATGCTGGGAATTGCCAGCATCCAAGGGTTGTCCGTTGCTTCTTTTGAGAAAGATGATGCGGAACGGCTGCTTTTCTTTTGCGCGAGGCAGGGCAAAGAACATAAATCTAACAATGTGGTTCTAGTTAGACCTCCTAGCTGGTTGACGCCACCTGCACCTAGTCGAAAAAGATCTCAGCCATGTAGAGAGATCATTAATATCAACCAGGAGAGTCAAAATGGAGGTTCTGCTAACCAGAAAGTAAAGATGGCTGCAATGAGACCAATCCCTCACACTCATCGTCATAAAATGCTGCCTTTCACTGGATTTTCTGAGGCTGAAAGATATGATGGTGACCAGGGGAAGGCTAACTTGTCCGTGGTTCCTGCGAAGCATGGTGCTACTGGTCCTAATCTTGTTACACATCGTAAAACACTGTCAAGCTCTTTCCAGGCTCAGCAAATTATTTCTTTAAATCCACTACCTCTGAAGAAACATGGTTGTGGTAGAGCACCAATTCAAGTTTGCTCAGAGGTAAGTAAATTTCCAATTCACAGGCAGTCATGTTTCAGGAGTCTGTATATAATTCATGGTTGCATCTAATAATTTTATAGATAAGTGATCAGAAAGGGATGAGGAAGTAATCCAATATAGTGTTACACCAAATATGAGTTGGGCTACCTGTTCTCTCTTAGATGAGCAAAACTGTGGAGTCAAGATCACTTGACTTGTCTTTTATGGTGTTTTCCATGTTGGAGCTAAATTTGGCTGTCTCTAGAGACTTGCTTAGTCTTTTATATGTTTCAGCTGATATCTTCTCAGGCTTTTTGTTTAATATTTTTGAATGCTTTATTTCTGCAGGAGGAATTTTTGAGAGATGTGATGCAATTCTTAATTCTTCGAGGACATACACGTCTTGTTCCGCAAGGTGGACTAGCTGAGTTTCCTGATGCTATTCTTAATGCAAAGCGCCTGGATCTTTTCAACTTGTATAGAGAGGTGAGCCTTGTCAATCTGCTAAATATGATTAGAATAGCAAAAGAAGTGAAATCTGACAGTTGAGCTCTTCAGGTGGTCTCAAGGGGAGGCTTCCACGTGGGGAATGGCATCAATTGGAAAGGGCAAGTTTTCTCGAAGATGCGAAATCACACGTTGACTAATAGGATGACTGTATGATTTCTAATCTAAATTATATTGTGTTCCTCTTGATAACTCCCAATCTGCTCATGTGTAGATGCATAATTGAGAGTTGCATATTTCTTAAAGCTGGAACTTGATTATGAATTAATTACAAAGATATATTATGGCTTTTGAAACATAAGTCTACTCCAAAACATGGGATCATTGTAAGAAAATTTGTTTGCCATAATTTGTCTCGTTTTCCAGGCTCATATTGACGTGGTTATTTCATTCTGACTTATCAGATCCTACTTTTATTTTGAGTAGTTTCGAGGCTCACTTGTTCGAAACTGGTTATTGTATTCCTGTAAAAAGTACAAAACATGTACTGAGTGGTTTATTAATTCAGGAAGAGGAGAAATCTTTTAAGAAGGCAAATCTAAATTTGTGTTGTCGAATATTGTTGGCTTGTTATTACTTTGTTTCACTTCCTCGGTTAATTGAATGTATAATCTTGATTGAAAAAAACTCAGCATCAACTGCCCCTCCCTCGTGTTTTGTCTTCCAAATGGCAGTTTGACATTGCTTTGTTGGATAAAATTGAGTGTCATTATGACTTTCATATATTCCACTTGGCAACCTTTGTCTTTTAAGTTGTCTCAGCTGTTATAATTTTTTGCACCATTATGGACTGATTGGTTCTGTACATTGCTTACCTAGGGCGTGGGCAACACATTGAAAAGACACTATGAAACTTATCTTTTGGAATATGAATTGGCTCATGACGATGTCGATGGAGAATGCTGCTTGTTGTGTCACAGGTCTGTCTGTCTGTTTCTCTATCTCTCTGCACAGTCGCACACAGGCACACAATTTTACTCTTTCAAGAAAATTTAATGCTTGTGATGCTAATGATTGGAGTTTATATGCTTCACAGTAGTGCAGCCGGTGATTGGGTGAACTGTGGAATATGTGGTGAGTGGGCTCATTTTGGCTGTGATAGGCGGCAGGGCCTTGGTGCCTTTAAGGTACATGTGCCTTCTTTTCTTAAGAAATTTTGATTGTCAAACAATAAAACAAAATAGTACTCAGAAAAGTAACAGAAAATGATTATGGAACTTGAAATGGGATCTAGACTTTCAAATTTCCAAAATAGGATTTTTCAATTGCTTTACTGACATAATTTCACTGGGAAAAATGGAGAATTTAGTCTGAAATAATGAGCAGTCTCATGGTTTGTGTCTTAAAGCACGATTCTGTTAAAAATTTTCTACTGAAGCTGTTTCAACAACCCTACACTGCCACATTTGGCATAAAAAATTTAATTAAGTAAATGCTACTAGCTAGCAGAGAAGAAAAATAAGTTGTAGGGAATGAAAAATTGAATTAGATTTGTTACATTGACAAGTTGTAAGTGGAATTACAGGACTATGCAAAAACGGATGGTCTGGAGTATATTTGCCCTCACTGCAGCGTCTCAAACTTCCGGAAGAAATCCCAGAAGACCACGAATGGTTATCAATGAGCGCTAACTTACATCTAGAAGTATGTCGAAGTGCACAGTTGTGTGCTTTTTCAAGTAATATCTCTTTTACTCACCACCCTACCCAGCAGGATGCAAAGGAGAAGGCAGCGGTTTAGGAATGTAAATCCCCATTGTTGTTTTCATAATTTTTATGTATTATGGCACGAAGAAGGCCCCTAATTTTTGCCCCATATCTTATAGTAACTGTAGAATATATATATATATATATATATCTATCTTTTTTTAAGTTTATGTGGTAGCTTTGTTGGAGTAGATTATTATAGGATTAGGAAATAGTTGGGCATTTAATTGTTGTTTCTTTCAACCCAGAATATGTCTTCTATTAAATCCAAGTGCAGTTATTCCTTTGTGTTCTCTGTTGTAGAGGTTGTGATGGTAAGTGTTCAATTATATATATAATCAATATCATCCTAACTATATAAATACTCAATTTTTTTTTAAAAAAAATCATAAATCTTGCTAATCTTTTAATTAATTGTTAAAAAGAATTGATAATTTCATAATGATATTGGAGGATTGTTTTATTTTAAGATAATTGTACAAATTTAAATTACATTTATGATAATACTAGAAGTATGTTTTTATAAATTATTTTTTAAATAAATATAAAAAATTAAGACTTAAAAATATCCATATGCGATCTTGAACCCCATTTTGACCGTCGCCCTTTCATATTCATAAGTTCTAATTACATATTTGTATAACATATTTTATAAATTAACAATTTATATTATGTATTATACATCCTTTATGATATGAGAAAATATTATTTTCTTACAAGTGAAAGACACCTAAAATAAATATGTGATCTCTTGTATTTTATCAAATCCATCAAACCTCATTAATACTCTAAAACGTAAAATTTTCTTTAAAATATGTTTTGAAATTTCTATACAATTCATTTCTCCAATGCATGCTTAGTTCACCTTAAAGGTTATAATTTTCTTCTAAAATAATGAAAAGTAACTTCATACGAAATTTAACGTGGAATTTGAATAACATCCATCTCAAATTCTACAAATTTTAACAAATTTTGAAATATATATATGTATATATATGATATTTCATTTAAGGTCAATTATTCCTTATAAAAATAATTTGCACCAATTTGAAAAAAATTTATATAATTTATGTAATCTCTTAGTTTGACAAAGTGGATTTAGAAATGAAGTTATTTTTCTAAAGTTCAAATTTTAAATTCAAATTTTGGTACGATTATTAAATATATATGTCTAATGTTTTCAAATAAATTGATCAAAACAATATATTGTCAAAGTAATCTCCGTAATGGAGATCAATATGTTTAAGAACA